ATCCATTGTACACATTTTTCAGTATGAATAACTGTTCAGAGAGGATGGATTGAATGAAGAAAAATACTTAACTGTAAAATGGCTTATTATGGGTAATTAAAAAATTAAGTCCTTTATTAATAGGACCTTGTGTTCTAACAAAGTATTTTAATCAATTCATATAAAACATTTTTCTGTGCTGGTTTAATCTAGTGGTCCAATTATTTGGTGGATTTAGTGTTCTGGTTCTTTTTTCTTTCTTCCTTTTACAGTGCGATGACACATTGTGTGACATTGTATACGGGCTAAAATGTCTGTCTGGCCTCCAGTGACAATAAATGCAGTTCTCAATGACATTTTATGCCTCTCAGCATCAAAATGCTACTTTGATCTACCAGTATCCATCTCTTTTTCAGACTCTGAGTACATATGAGTCTGAAACTCTGTTGATGGACAGCTTGGGTAGAGCAGCAGAACCTTGCTGATAGCAAATGGTCATGGCTCTGTGGTTTCTGGACTTGAGCGTGTGGTTTGAAGGATGAGGTATTTGGGTTATTTCAGTGTTTTATGGTGTTATTCCTTTTTCTGTGTGGGTTCCACTGAGAGGCTTTGTTCAGGGTGGAATTTCTGTAGAAAGTGGCATTGGAGGCAGTGGAGAAAGGTAGACCCCAGTTTAGGCAGTAGCCTGTCAGTCAGGAGTGCTTTAGGGGAAGTGGCCAAGTGCAGATCCCACATTCAGAGTCACCCAGAAGTAAAGGCTGGTGGTGGGTTTCTGAAGCTCCAAGTCAGTATTTTGACTGCTAAGCAAAATGTTTTCTTGCTATCTCTCACTGTCTCCTCCTGAAGTTGCTTCCATTTGTGTATATTAAATTTTCCTTGTAGCAGAGGCTTCTGATGATCTGGACTTCCACTTAACATGAGGAGAAATGAAAGAACTTCAGTCCTCTGCACTTGGTGTGAGATAGCGAACCATTGTGGACTACAGGTGGTGTGAGAATGTGGGGAGTGTGCCCCATCCCTGGCAGTGTTCAAGGCCAGGTTGGACGGGGCTTGGAGCAACCTGGTTTGGTGTGAGGTGTCCCTGCCCATGGCAGAGGCTTGGAACTGGATGAGCTTTAAGCTCCCTTCCAACCCAAACCATTCTATGATTTGAAAGGGAGTTGTTATAATGTAAGTGTTGGGCCAATTGTGTTTTGTCTTGGCTTGATCACAAATATTAAAGATCATATAAACTAAAATCTCCCTATAATATTTCTCTAATATTAGAGCAACCAACTTTACTCTTGATAGTTAATGTTTATTAAGTATAACCCAAAACCCTACTGTGTTGGTAAGTAATTTAACAAATTGTAATTTTCACTTATAGCAATCAGTTCATAATTTCTTTTGCCTTGTCTGCCTAGTGTCATAGTAGGAATATAGGTTCTATTCTGAACCCTTCAAACCTTTTCCAGTCAAAAATGTTAATGTGATCCTTTGGGTAAGTCTAATGAATCTATGTTTTTCAATTAAAAATGTCACCAGAAAATTCCCCAAACTCATCTAAACCTTTTTCCTTGAGGTGACAAAGTGCCATTTACATCAAAGCAAAATCCATGTGGAAAAAAAGATGTCAGTTCATTGGTGCCTGTCATTCTGAAGCCGTTCAAGAACTAGATTTTAATTAATGCTGAAAAACAGCCTGAGAAGTGAATATTTTGGCATGAAAATTTCTTGGTGTAATGGTTTATTGCAGCTCCCAAGTGACTTTGCAGTTCAAATGCTTCACTGATACTTGAGACTCTCCAAAGAGTCTCCAGATTTATGTAGTTACTGCCATGGTGGTATCAATTACTTCTAAAGCTTCATTGCTTCAGAACATACCAGCATGAATGCTTCCAGGGTGCCTGGATTTTCTTTGATATGAGGAAGTTTAATTCTCCAGAGTAAGAAATCTCTACCTTGAAGATTGTCTGCCTCTGACTCTGAACAGATTTAAGTGGCCTATAAGGATGCTGGAGAGGGCCTCTTCATTAGGGACTGTAGCGCTAGGACAAGGGGTGATGGGTTCAAACTGAAACAGGGGAAATTTAGATTGGATATAAGGAAGAAATTCTTTACTATAAGGGTAGTGAGGCACTGGAATGGGTTGCCCAGGGAGGTTGTGAATGCTCCATCCCTGGTGGTGTTCAAGGCCAGGTTGGACAGAGCCTTGGGTGAGATGGTTTAGTGTGAGGTGTCCCTGCCCATGGCAGGGGTTTGGAACTGGATGATCTTAAGGTCCTTTTCAGCCCCTAACTATTCTATGATTCTATGATTCTTCTCTTCAAACACAAGATCTATAAACAGTATGCTGATGTAGGACAGTTTTGTAATCCTTGACTCACTACTTAAAATTTCCTGCTTGGATTAATATGGTTTATTCAGCTTCCAGAAGTCTGAGACATGAAGTGGGCCTCTTAAAGGAGGAAAACTGGTTTCCCTACTAATAGGTGGTGTTAACAATGGTATTGCTCTCCACATGTCCATTCATTGAAATTGTATTCTCACAGGATTTGGGAATAAAATGGGAAGAGAAAGAACACTGTCCTTACTATATTTTCAGTTCTTAATGTTTGTTGTGCAAGAGAAGTACTTTTATGATCTTGACAGAAACTTTACTTCTAAAAGCGAAGAATTTACTTTTCATTCCTTAGAATGAAATGAGGTAACATTCTTTAGAGCTCTCTTTGTTTTAAATGTCACCTTTTCTCCTTATGCCTTGTGAGATTCTGACCGTCAACACAGATAAAAGGACATGGTTGTCTCCAAGATAACAAGGAGGTTTGGGAACTGCAAAGGATGTTAACAAATGACTTCCAGAATAAAAAGATTATATTGTTAGGCCTCTGAAAATCTGAATTTTGGCATGGTAAGATAATGCATTTGTATACTGATATTGGGGGTTTATTTATATATATATATATATGTGTGTGTGTATACACACACACACTTTAATTAAAGGGTATCTGTAAATGTAGCGTTTAGTGTAATTTCTTCTGGACTCTTAGATACAGGAGTAGGAGGCTTGTATGTGAAGTCTCCCAGATTGGTAGCCTCTTACCACAATTGCTATCTCTTTTGTTATCTAAAATGTAATTAAAATACTGTAGTTTGCCTACACTGTTCTAATTTCTAATCCACTTGAAGAGAAATGGCAGCTTTAGCCACAGTATCTTGCCAAGATTCATACTCCCACTTTTCTAGTTCACACCCTTTTACCTAACTGGCTTTTTAGAATACTTCAGCTGAGTTCTTTTGTTAACGTTACAACCCTTCAAAATTAGAACGAAAAGTTTAATGGCTTAAATACAATGTAGTCCTATTTGAAAAGCCTGATTTATCTTCCATACTGCCTTTTTTTTATCCTAGTATTTCCTTGTTATGCCCTTGGTATTTCTTAGCTGTCCTTTTTAAGCACTGAAGCAATTAGTTTTGAGAAGGCTGATTCTTCAGGGTCCAATGCTTTGCTGCCTTTCATTCACCAAAGCTCTACATTTTAATGAAGTTGTTTCATCTGTGTTGCCAAACACTAGAATTTTGCTGCTTCAATTCTAATTATCTCTGCTGGCAAAGGCTATGTTTTATTAAAGCTGTCAAGTGCACTGTTCATTAAATGTCTGCGGTCTGTGGCGCTGTGCACACAAATCAGATCCGCTTTGCTCCTTGATAGGTTATGAAGAAGTTAAATACTTTTTATATAAACCTCTAAAATCGAGCCTAACAGCAATCAGTGATGGCTTATCTAAGTAAAACATACCTGGAGCTTGTTGAAACCTAGTAAGTATCTTATCAAAACCCATCTCCGATACATGTGTTAAAACTCCAGTTGTACAGCTGAGTATGCCATTTGTAAGATTATTTTATTCACCAAGAGAACATTTTCCTTCCCCAAAGTATTGACATTCCCATCTTGAATTCTAGTCTATGTGTGCTTAGGGGAAGGTAAGTTTTGTTATGTATGCTTAGATATAAATAAAAGCATCAGTGCTACTCTTTCAGTAGGCAGTTATATAAATTATGTCTATTAAAGACAAATGTGGCTTCATTGTAATGTTATTAACCTGCTGAATGCAAAAGATCACTATTGTGAACAACTACCAGCTTCTCTTGTAATTGTGTATCTCCAAAGGGAATTTTACTAGAAAATATTGAAATACATGGGGCAGTAACAGAAATACTGTACTTGCAAAGACAGTACCTGAGTCAGCTCTCGTTTTGGCACTTGTGAAACTTCTTTGCTTTTATGAATTGTATATTCTCAGTGGATGTATCATTATCTTCAGCAACACAATCATTCTTACTGTTTCCCTATTGTTTTCTGAATGTTCTTTAGGAGAGTGAATAAGATGATAGACTACCAGATAAACATGTTGATCTCTGGAGCAACTGTGATTCTTACCCTTCAGCTTTCTGTAGGAAATAACTTCCAGTTTATGTTTAGTACCATGGCTTTATGCTATCTCTTTTCTGTATTGGTTACCTTATCTTTTGAAGAACGTGGTGTCTATACTTTCCAACATTGCTTTTCCATTTATCAGGCTGTGTCTTAAACCTTCAGAGGAACAGATACTTATTGTGCTCTTTATAGAGATCGTAAATGACATCTCAAAGTCCTATGTAAAGTAAAAAGAACTTTAGGCCTCTTGGAGTTACATATATATATATGGATTGGAATATATATGTGTGCATATATATATATATAGGGGTTTGGTAGGAAACTAATGGTCCTCCAGATGGCTGTGGGCCGCTGTTCTTTGTCTCTTCTCCTTATGATCCAGTTTAAAGTGCTCTAGTACAAAGAAAATTAATACAGGGTGAAGCTGTATAGAGGTTTCTAAGAGACTTGGCAGGGTTTCTAGCGCTTTAAATGTTGACCTTTAAGGAACTGAAATGGTATTGTTTATGTATCACTGTGGTTTTGGAAGTGAATAGTCTTCTGTTAACCTTGCAAAAGGGAAACTAGATAATTTTTATTCTGATTTTTGTTGTATTTTATGCAGGAACACCAAGACGGTATCCTTGGGAATACAATGCAAACTGTAATTGCCTTATTGAATACCGTGGTTGCTAACAAAAACACAAACATGATGTTACTCTTTGAAGAAGGTATGTTGTCTTTAGTTATTCTCTTTACTATAGATGTTTCCCAGTCTTTTGTAATGCCTGGCACTGTGTGAAACTGTAGACTTGAATGTATTTATATTCTGTAGTAGGTTGTTAGGCATTGTAACGGACTGGTACTCCTCATCACTTCATCTACCTCCCTTACTGATTTGGTTATAAACTTAACTTTTTGAAACCTTTTCCTCTGAGGAAGTGTGGTTACTAAAGAGTCACTGGCTGAAAGTTACATTATGCCTATGAAGGATGGCTTTGAAAAGGAGTGGGCTAGAGCTCTGACTGTAGCAGTGCAGAATGCAGGGAGAGAGCCTCTGCACCTTGCTCCTTTTCTCACTGCTCGCATCTGTGAAAGAAAGAACTGTACAATATTTCTGCACTTCTAAAAACCTAGCTCCTCTTCCAATCCTGTGATATAGACTAGTGGGGTGGAGCCCAAGCTGACTGTGAAGTCTTAGTCTTCAAACCGTTCCATGTCTTCATTTCACTGTGTTTTATTCTTGAAGATCCATTTATTTAGAAACTGGTTCTGTTTTACAAAATAAAAAGAAAGTTTCTGCAGTTGGAAATCTATGTAAATTCAACAACTTCTTTATAAATATGCACATAGAGAGAATTCCTTTTGTTTATTGTAAATGACTGGCATCCAGCAATACAGATCTACGCTACTGTTCATATCATTTGTCATAAATCAAAGACCTAGAGTACTGGCATAACAATATATAGCATACTGCAGAAGGAAAAGGAAGACTTATGCATAGGGGGACACTGAAGAGACTGCTAAGTCTCTTATGAATCCAAGAGATGAGAGAAAACCTTTTGAAAGCCTCTAGGAAAAGACTGGGTGAGGTGTAAGAGGCAAATTTCATGGGAGTGTGGCTTTTCTGTAGTCATCACGTCAGAGACATAGTATGACTAATGGTGTCAGTATAAGCACTGATGGTTATAAGGAAATTTGAAGACTCTTGTTTTAGATATGAGGTACACATACCAGCATAAAACTCCATCAAGATTGGTGGTAATGGCCATGCCCTTCTTTTTGTAATTACCTTAGCAGTTAAAGCACTCACCCAGAAATGGGGGAAGTTGAATTCCTGATCCTTTTCACTCTGACGGGATTGAATGCACAGTGCTATCATTCAGGAGATGAGCTGGAACACAGTGTAGCTAATAACATGTTCCTCTCCTTTGTTTCAAACAGATCCATTCTGAAGCTAGTGGTGTGAGAATAAGGCCAAAAGAAAAGAGAGGGAAATGCATCTGAATTGGAGAGGGATGGTTCACAGGATTCTGATTCTTTGCTTATTTATCAGCAAACTGCCTGTTACACTTAGAACTCCTTGGGGTTTCTTGGGGTTCAGATGTTTGTGCTGCTTCCATCATGCTAGTCTTTTACCTTTTCCTCGTGCTATTTTATGAATTACTCCAGTAATACTGTCAGACTATTGGCCATTAGGTAACACTCTTGGGCTCACAGAACTTCAGCAACCTGACTAGGAAAAACAGCCCAGCAGCCAAAAATAAATCTCAAGTAAGTCTCTCATCTCTTTTCCCCATTGGCTAATCTTCAGAGTCCTGGAAACCTGGATTTTGGCCAGTGCTTTATTGATTAAGGGCCCAAGTGTCAAGTCAAGAACTTCTGAAATTTGGTTTGCAAGGATTGTTGTGAAGGTATTGATCTTGTAATTGTAGACTTCAAGCTTTCCTTTGGATGAAAAAGGGAGAAAAGTTATTCCGTACAAACTAGAGGGCATTTTATCCTTTCCGTTGCCAATATAAATTGATGGTGCTCACTACAAGAAAATAGCTTAAACTTCTTCTGCCACTGTCTTTGATATTCAACTTGTCCCTTTTGAATAATTTTTGTGGGATAGAGAAGAACATGATCTGGTAAAGTGGAAACTAAGCTCCACGTGGCAGGAAAGGATCCTGGAGTCCAAATAGAAAAGTTGAACATGAGGCAGCAGTGTGCCCTTGCAGGAATAAAGGCAGAGGGCTGTGATAAGAAAGAGTAACTGGAACATGGAGAAAAGTGATTATTCTTTTGTATTTGCCACTTGTTGAGATTTCATCTAGAATAGCAACTTGTTCTGAGCTCCAAACTATAACAAGACATTGACAGACAGGAATAAGTCCAGAGGAGGGCAGCCAAGATGTTTAGGAGAGTGAACCACATGGTGTATGTATTTTCAGCCTCTGCCTGTACTATTACATTAATTTATCCCTTCCCAGGTGCACAGCTTTGTATTTGCCTTTGTCAGACTCGAAGAGGTTTGTGGCAGCCCATTGTTTTAGCCCTCCTGCTTCTTGAGTTCTTCCTGAATGTTAGCTCAGCCCTTCATCACATGAACCGCTTGCCTCATTTCAATGTCACCTGGAAACTTGCTGAAGGTGCATTTTACTCCATCCTATTAACAGTCTGTGTCCATGCTGTTAATGAAGGCATTCAACATTCATGAGCTATTCTGCTGTCTTCAAAAAGAAAAGGCTGAAGGCAGAGTATTATGTGTCATCAATTTCCCTTATTTCCCCATTACAGTGTGATAATTCATGTATACATGGAGCTTAAAAAATTAAAACCCTTAAGTACTTGCTAAACTTTGTAAGGAGCCCAGGTTAGGGGGTCAGTCTGTCAAGGTTTCTGTTTCCAAGAGTCCAGATATTAGCAGCGAGGATTTCTTTCCACCTCTTCAGCTGCCAAGAAGCACGTTTTTACAGACAGGTCATTCAGAGACCCGTGTCACTGTTTCATTTTGTGCCTGTTTGTTGGCCTTCAGAACAATCCCTTGCTCAGAGAAGTTGTATTAGGTTCTATGTGTATTTAATGGCTTGCAGCTTACGTGTTGAACTTTCCCCTTTCTCAAGGAAATCCTGCATGACGGCACTTGCTTCATTACTACTTCTGTGATTTCATACTAATACCAGTTACAGGGTTCTGCATTTCAGCAACTTACATACAGGGTGGATTGCCCAGTGTCTGTTTCCCTGCCCCTGAACTGTTTCCTTTTGCATGACAATACATCAGACATGTGGTGATCACCACTTGTAATGTTTAAAGGTGAGAGAATAACATATGCAACTGAAGTTGCAGAGGGAATTTAAAAGAGCTTGTACTTGTGTTATCAGCTCTTAAACATTTGTTCTGTTAACTTTAATGACAATGTCCACTTAATAATCAGAAGGGAATGACATGATTCAGTTTAATTACTGAGACTGGATTCAGTAAGGAGACTGGGATTAATGTAGGGTCTCTTATGAATAGTTAGGGTGAGATGTTAAAAATCCAAGACAACAGTGGTTGTTTTTAGCATGGTTTTCTAAAAGCATGAGACTTGCCCTCTTTCCCTCTGTCTTGGCTTCTCTCTTTTGATCTCTTTGCTCCCTTTCCCCATCTTTTGAAATCATTAGATGATTTTAAGTTAACTTGAGAGAACATAGAGGCCCAAATATACAAAGTATTTATTCACTCTATAGTAGCTAGTATCTGAGGAAAGTAGACAAACCTATGGTAGTGTCATTACTTAGGGAAAGGCAATAATACTGTTATCGATTAAATAGTCCTGGCTAATGTACAGCAAACAGTAGTGCCATACTTGATGTGCACAAAATACACATATGTATGTACTTGTACACTTACAGAAAGGAAGGAATTTTGATACCTAAAATTTCCAAATTATAGAATTTTAGAAAACATTACAAATTGGAGCACAAGAGGTTCCACTTAAACCTGAGAAGAAACTTCTTCTCAGTGAGGGTGACGGAACACTGGAACAGGCTGCCCAGGGAGGTTGTGGAATCTCCTTCTTTGGAGACATTCAAAACCCGCCTGGACACGTTCCGTACCTATAGGTGTTCCTGCTCCGGCAGGGGGATTGGACTAGATGATCTTTTGAGGTCCCTTCCAATCTCTAACATACTGTGATACTGTGATTACATTTGCAACCTATTATCTTGGACCATCCCAATAAAAATTAGGTTGCAGAAAACCAAAGGATGTAATTTCACCTTCAGGTAGCAACTAAAGAATGTAAATGAAAGAGGAGAATCATTCTTGAACAGTTTTCCTTCTTTTACCATAAAGTGATGACATGATCAAAGTGGGGCTAACTGATCTCAGCTTATACCCTGGAATGTAATAGTCCTTACTGGTGGAGGTAAAACCTGCCATCTGTGAATTCTGTTTCCATTAGCATTTACTAAATTACAAAGCATAAAACTTAAACTTATGTAGTATCCTGAGGTCTACTTACAGGCCTGTTAATATCTGTTAATTAATGTATCTCCCTGGTCTTTTGTGTATTCACACCCATTTGCTTTTTAGGGTATCTGCAGTCTTCTGGTTTAGGTTTGTAACCACTGAGTTCAACAGTGTATTGTTCCATGGCTATGGAGGGTAACCCATGTAATGATCTCACAGGATCAATCAGTGCCTGGGAGCAACTCCCAGTATAGCATGTGCTATGACACAGGATAAAGCAGGATCCTCATTCTGAAGAAATGAACAAAACAGGTTATTGGAAGGTAAATCTTACGATAACTTCTGATTGTCTGCAGGTGTTTATTCCTCATAATGCCTCAAATCTACTACATTATATGAACAACTATCTTTAGTAGTATGTATAAAAAGTAATTCCTAGCAATTCTGTCTTTAGGAAAGGTTTCCATGGTCATTCAAAGCTAATGTAGTAACTTGTTTGCAGCCCAGGACTACTTACAAATGAGTGTACATTTTCAGCTTTTTTGGAATCTCATTATACTCCATAAATTATTTATTTTTTTGTTTTTCATGATGGTCTTCTAAGGAGATGATTTATATATAAAGTTCAATACTAGTCATGTAGAACTGAATGACCTTTTTCAGGCTCTACTGCTGTGATCCTGTTTTTGGCTACTGTCTTGAAGTAACCACCACTAGCGGTGTGAGAAAAGATGCTTGTCTGAATGCTCAAAACCAGTTTCTATTAATCTGGTATGGCAAATCTTAAACT